AGCCTCAGACTGCTATGGGAAGGAAGACCAGTGCTCACATGCTTAAACTGAGGTACCTGTTGGGACATGTCTGTGCAGAAAACATTCCTGAGAAGTGGACCCCACAGGTGAGCACTTTTGCCCCAATGCGCCCATCATTCTAGTGGGGAATAAGAAGGACTTGAGGCAAGATGAGCATACCAGGAGAGAGCTGGCCAAGATGAAGCAGGTGGGTGGGGCTGCCTGGTGGGGAACCCTGGGGAGGAAGGTGCCCTCTGAGGGGTTACAGGCTGGGGCAGAAAGGAGCTCTCTCTTCAGCCAACTGTCCTGTGTTAAGCAGTCATAGTGATATCTACCTCCTCCTCTCCCATGTGTGTGCCCTGCTAAGAACCAGAAGGAACCTCAGTATCAAATCAGATGATCATAGAATGAAGTGACTTGTCCAAGGTCACTTGGCATTTTAATTTATTCCAGTTTATTATTCTGTCTTTGGAATTGGGGCTACTGAGATGAATAAGGAAGTCCTTGTCCACGGGAGACAGCTTATGTTTCACTTAGGGTATGCAGACTGTGCCATCAGTGTACCTGGGGAGGAAGGGCATCATCAATGGCTGAAAAAAGGCTTAGGGGGTGAGGGAGATGGCTTATTCAGGGTCTCACTAAAGTGGCCCACTGACCAGAGGAAGAGTTTATTACATGAAGCTGCCAGGTTATGGAATAGAGACTATCTTGAGAGGATAATTATATAAGGCAAGGTTTTAAACTGGGGACAGCAGGCAGAGGATGGGTTGGGAGGATGATGGAGAAGGTAGTCATTTAGGAGGTAGCCAACACACATTCAGGCAAAACATATGTGGACCATAGGGTCTGCGACTAGGTGGGAGAGAAGGGGCTAGTCTGGGGACAACATTGAATATAAACATGAGGTTTAGATCCCTGCCTAGGGCAGCTGGGGCCTGGATGCTTTGTGGCCTCAAGGCTGGAGGAGGTATTTGTTATAGTTACTATACTTATGGGTGATGTGGTGAGAGGTGCACCTAACCAACAGCTTCTTCTGCCTTATCTTCTGTCTTCTCAGGAACCTGTCCGATCTGAGGAAGGCCGGGATATGGCAAATCATATCAGTGCCTTGAGTGCTCTGCCAAAACCTATGAGGGATTGCGGGAAGTTTTTGAGATGGCCACTCAAGCTGGCCTCCAGGTCCGCAAGAATAAG